GAGACTCTGTCTCTACCAAAAATAGAAAATTAGCCAGGGCTTCGTGACACTTGCCTGTAGTCCCAGCTACTCAGGAGGATGAGGGAGGAGGATTTATAATTGTATTTATTAATTTTGAATTACGTTTTAGGGTACTTTGTCCTTTAAAATTATAAAAAATTCTAATTCCTTCACTTGTTTTTCATAATGAATAACAAGCATTAAGTGTATCTGATATACAACCTTTATTAGCAACCTCAGTTTTGCAGAATAAGTGTGGTCCTGGAATAGTTTGCTTATTATACAAACATTCGTGCATTAAAATGATGAATGTATTTTTTTAGGAAAAAATTCTACCTTTCCCTCATCCATTGGATTATCACTTATATGGACAACAGGTCCTGGGTGAGATTTAGATGACCTAAAAAAGAAAACATTAATAAGTTTTCTCAATTAAAAATTTCGATATGACTATATATTCATTACAATAAGAATAAATGAAAAGAAAATAGAGATATATTTATAAAGAAAGAATTGCAGCAAGTGATCAATAACAGATACATAGTTCTTAATATGGAACAAAATAGGAATCAGGAATAAAATGGTAATTCATGTTGACACATGTCAGCAAAATTTACAGTTAAGTACACTTTCTGTATAGGAAAAAATCTTCAATTTAGTCAAAGATTTCAGCACAGAAAATCTATCCTCGAGTAGAATTCTCAAAGCAAGTGTTTTAAACAATGCAGCATCTAAAATATTACTCTCTTATTTTACCCAATTCTAGCCTCCAATTGGGATATCCCATTTAGTTCCACAGTTAATATCAGAAATATGAAAAATTCTATTATATTTTTAAAAATCCACAAAGTATTGCTACCTATACCTGCTCAGAGAAAAAGAAGTGAATACAGTTAAGAATATGGCTGAACTGATGCCCATACATAATCATATCCCTAATTCAGAAACTCCTAAATTTAAGAGATCACTCCACTTCATGAGAGCCATCTGTGAAACCATACAGTCACCTGAATCAGGCCTATCCACTAGAAGTTGTAATCAACTCAAAATAAAAGACCACGAAAGCCCACACTACCACCAAGAGACAGATATATAATAATAATGTCCCTGCCACAGGAAGAAAAACCAGGATAAATATACTATCACAACTACACTAAGACATTACTTTCTTAAAAGATATATCACAAAATTATCCTTATCTCAAAAAGGTGTAAATACTGTGGAATGCAACAATACAAGACTATTTAAAAAAAAAACAAAAAAACAAAAAGAAACAATGAGAATATCCTTAAACTTTGATTTTTATGTCTTAGCAGTGTTATTTGTAGAAAAAGATAAGACATGTAAAATTTAAGACAGAGTGAAAAGTTAAAATTAAAGATGCTCGCGGACCTATAAAACCTATAATTTTTTTTGTTAAAATTGGCAAATGAAAACAATCATTTCAAAATTAAGTAAAATCAACCTTAAGATTAATTCTACAATATGTTAACTTTAGCAAACATTTGCATTATATTTGTTGATCCTTAAAACACATCAAATAAACTAATCAGTGTTTTCAAACACTGGTAGCAACCCATTTGTTGCTCATGATTAGCATTAGAAATAAAAATAATTATAAAATAAAAAAACAAAAATTTAAAGTGTTTTTCATTTAGAAAGAAGAATGATTATTTCATTAAACTTGTGTTTTATATATATGCCTATATAATGTGTGTATATATATCTACATTTGTATATGTTTGTATGTATATTTACATTTGTAAATTTATGCATATATAATTTGTAAAATTTAAATTTACGAACTGCCATGTCAATCGGATAATACTTACGAAAAGCTAATAAATCTATATCTAGTATCAAGAATGTCTGACACATATTTAATTCCATATGGAGTTAGTGACTATCATATGATATTATCATATATAGGTACTGATACTTTCAGATATGAAATATCTGCTCAAACTCACAGTTCAATGGCTTTATTCCACATAATGACGTAGCCTGAGAGTGTGAAGGACTCCACATTGACAATATGTATATTACCTCGTTCAGTGCCCACATAGAGCCACTTACTCTGGAAAGGCAGATGGCAAAATGTAACCCTGCAAGAGAAAATATATTCAAAAAGAAAATCTGAAAAATGTTTGATAAATTTTACTGACTGCATTAGAGGGTTAATCATAATATATGTAATTCAGGAAAAGCAAAAATGATATACAATCATCAGATTTATCTTCTCATTGTGATTAATATTTAATTATGCTAATTTAATTTATACATCAACATAAGGTCTTACAGTAAATAAACAGCATGGCGTAATAGAAAGAAGATGAGTTTTGGAAGTTACAATGTGTTTCAAATCTGGGTATGTCATCCACTAACCATATAACCTTGGGCACATCACAAACTAACCTTTAAGCCACAAGCTTAAAGGATTCCAATATCCACATCACCCCTGGATACTACTGTACTTCTCAGGAGTCACTAAACTCACTAATTTATCTAAGTACCCGTGTTTGCTATTCCTTCCTGGCAAAATGCTCCTCCTTCTTATATTTTTCTTCTGTTCAATATTCAGTTCAAATACCACTCTCATTCAAATTGATATCCCAATTCTTTGTATCTGTCATGCTTGCCTTACACGATAGTTAGGGTCTGTGTTCCTCACTAACTTGTAAGCCTCTAGAAGGACAGAGATCCCTTACACTTAGCCTTAGACAGTATTTCTGAACTATTTCTTCCTATGCCCTGATGATATCGGAAGACTTCATTAAGAAATTATAGGCCAGGTGTGGTGGCTCATGCCTATAGTCCTAACACTCTGCAAGGCCAAGACAAGAGGATCACTTGAGGTCAGGAGTTCAAGACCAGCCTGAGCAAGAGCGAGACTCTGTCTCTACCAAAAATAGAAAATTAGCCAGGGCTTCGTGACACTTGCCTGTAGTCCCAGCTACTCAGGAGGATGAGGGAGGAGGATTGCTTGAGCCCAAGAGTTTGAGGTTGCAGTGAGCTATAATGATGCCACTGCACTCTACCCAGGATGACAGACAGAGAACTCTGTCTCAAAAAAAAAACCAAAACACCAGAAAAAAGAAATTATAATGATTCATATGCATTTACTAAACTTTATTATTATTCCAACAGTTTCAGATACCTTTTATATCAGTTTATTTGATTTCAAGGTAAAGAATGGATAATATCTTGCCCTTTTCTTGGAACATTTATTTTTAGTGAAAAAAAAAAAAGTAGCATGATGTAAAAATATATAATGCTCATTTTTCTACAGACCACTAATTTTGTTTCTCAGAATAGACTTTGAAATTTCACTGGAATAGCACTTCAAATAATAGACAATGATAATAATCACTACTAGACTGTCAATACTAACATGAGGCACTGGGCAACACAGAGCATACAGAATATTTGCTATTCTCATTAACGAAAAATTTTATTACAGAGAATTTTCAAGATGAAAACACTTATCAAATAAATGTACATGCAACTCAAATTCTCATCCTTTCCTAGAGGTAATGTTCAATTAGATAATTACTTAAGCTTCCTACATTCATAATTTTTGTTGCATGTTTTATATAACAACATATGTCCTCTTTCTAGAGAATTTATGTAAACTTAACAAAGTACAGACATGTCAACTGAATAAACAAAATCATTTTATAGTACCTTGTTATTTTACAAGGTTCACTTTCTTAGTATTAGCTACCATCCTATGATTTTTTTTTTCTCAGTCAACTATAATATAAAACCAACTTACACTGCAGAGATATTTGAAACACCTTTACGTTTTCCAGAAGTAAGAAAAACAAACTATTTAGTATTTAATACTTAAACAAGGAACTTAAATGCTTACTTAACTATCTTGGTACGAAGACTTTATTTAATAGGGCCCCTAAAATGACTCGTATATGCTTTTTTAACAAATAGAAATCATGAGAGTATGTTTGTACAAAGCACCACGAAATTTATTAATAAAAATTACTCTGCTCCATAACAACCCTCTTTATTTAAGTAAACTGAGAGGAGGGAAAAGTTGAATGTTTTTTGTCGCAATTAACTCAAGAATTTTTTAACTAGCAAATCGTCATGGCTCTGAACACATACGAATAGGAAGAGTGAAAAAACTAAAATTCTGGTTGTAACTAAATAAAATAATACCGTGTCAGTGATATGAGGGAAAGATCAATAAGAAAATTTGATTCACCAAAATATACGACTAGGAAAGCAAATCAATCAGCGTGTCCTACCAAGAATTGTCACTTGCCACTCACTGATAGAGTTTCGATATGACTCTGCAAGCAACTGATTTATTATGGTCTCTGTGCAGTCAAACCTCTCTGCATTAGCAGAGATAATCTGTATTTGCAGCCACTCCCCAGCGCTGGCATCACCACCTCAGCTCCACCTCAGACCATCAGGCATTAGATTCTCATAGGAGCGTGCAACCTGGATCCCTCACATGGGTTCGTGCTCCTATGAGAATCTGATGCGTCATTGATCTGACAGGAGGCTGAGCTCAGGTGGTCATGTGAGCAATGGGGAGCAGTTGTGAATAAAGAAGAAGCTTCCTTGGCCCACCTGCTGCTCACTTCCTGTTGTGCAGCCCAGTTCCTAACAGGCCACTGACTGTACTAGTCTGTGGCCTGGGGGCTGGGACCGCAGGTATAGGGGATTTCTTAAAGATCTGTCATTAATGATCTTGGAGGACAAAGATGCCAGGGTGTTTTTATATGGTAAGGGCTATGATAAACTGAAGCAACCTGATACTCATTGGCAACTGTTAAATTTCACTTTTCCATGAAAACTCTTTTTTCCTACTTTAATATAAGACTGCCTTTTATTGTACTTTACGAGGTAGATGTACTCTAAACATCTCGCAATCTATGGCTTATGTCTTTTTTATTATTTATGGTTTCTCTCTCTATATATACACACACATACACAATGCACAAATATGATCCTATTTGTGCATATATGTAAGCTTACTATCTTAAATGATTTTTATTAGTCTTATTTTATTGTGTTTGCCTCTCCCTTTCCCAAAATTTACTCTCTCCATAAGTCTTATTAACAACCTGGAACATATGTTTCCTTATTTTTCCTTCATGTTCATAAACTATACAAATAAGACATGAGACATTTTGGATGAGAAGGGAGTCACTTTTAAAAAGGAAGATGTACAAATTTTTCTGAATCTTGTGTTCTTATCCATCAGCACCTGGTAGATGGAGTCTGTCTTTTAACTTCATGGTACATGTATAATACAGAACTTTTAAATTTTCATATAGAGATTACATCTACTTTATTACATAGCTTGTGCTTTGCATAAGCTGTTTAAGCACTCCTTGCCCAGGTCTTACAGATACTCCCTACATTACTTTCTTCCAAGTTCTACTTGTAATTTTTCTGCAGACGTTTCACAGTTTAGTCTTTAACTAATTTGCAATTCATTTTGGTTATGAGGTAGGAACCACTTTTCCTCATTTAGATAAGAATTGTCACAGCATCTTTCATTTATTGCAAGCATCCTTTGCTTACATGCAATGCCACCTCTATCATATATTAAATGGGTCTCTCTCGACATACACATTTCTGAAAACCATACATTGTGTTTTTGGTCCATTTGTCTTCCCCTTATAATTATTATACCACTTTCATTTCCACAGCTTTATAAAAATTTTTGATATCTAATAAAATATGTTCCATTATCTCATTTTTATTTTTCAAAATTGTGTTGGCTATTCTGTGCCTTTCTTTTTTCCGTATGAATTTTAAAATCAGCTTATGATGTCCCATGAGCAACCCTGTTAAAAATTCTGATTGGAATACGACTAAATACCAAAAATAGTAAATTTATAGATTAATTTGAGGACAAATGACAATTTAGAATTTGATTATTTCTTCCTATGAAGTCCTTCATTTGTTTAGATCTTCTTTTATTCTTCAATAAAATTTTAATATTTTCTCCACACAGACCTTATATTTTTTTCATGATCTGTGCATTTTTTCCTTTTTCCTCCCATTTACTTTTGAACTTTGTGTAATTACATTTTATCTATTACAGTTTAACAGCTATATTTTAAGCTTTCGTAAGTCCAATCTTAAAAATGTCAAAATTTTAATAACACAAATTTGATACCATTTACTATGATTTTGATTACCAATTAAGTTGATCTTCTTTCTTCTATCTCGTTTACCCATTCTTTTTATTTCCACCATTTTATCTCTTTTCCTAACCATTATTGATTCATTTTCTTCATTCTTTTTTTTAACTCCTCTAATGGTTTTTATGTTTTATATTTATCCTTCCATGGTTACCTTTATACTTTTAAGACACATGTTTAACTTTATAACTTTCTAACAAAGTCTCAAAGAATGAGTATTTGAGGGGGATGGGAGTGTCAGGTTAAGTGCTACATTTTCTGAGTTCTTTCACAGATGATAATGTCATCAGAATATAACTTACAAAGGTATTTTTAATTCTATTTATTATGCCAGGAATTAGCCCTTTCAATGTAAGATATTTTGGTTCAACAAAATTTTCTTCAGTTATGCCTTTGATCACTTCTTCTCCCTCCATTGTTCTGTTTTCACTTGCCTTTTCTACCACAAAAACAAATACCCTGTAATTCTTAGGCTGAAATGCCATCCCTCCAACCTCTGTCCTTCATCCTCATCATCATCTCTCTTACTATACTAATTCCATTGCTGTAACGTGTTTATTATTAAGCAAATAAATTTTAACTCAAGAAGTTAAAAACAAAAAGTAGAGAATTGACATAAAAATTGGTATAATAAATTACATATCAGTAAAATAGTAAAACTAATAAGTCCATGAACTACTTCTTTTAAAATACAATTAAACAGATCAACTTCTGACAAATCATGTTAACAGAAATAAGGTAAAGGGAGAAAGAAACTACAGTGAGTATAAAAATGAATGTAAGTACTTAAGAATACAATGGTACACAAACCTCTAATCTTAATGAAATTCATGACAGTCTTTATCATAAAATTTATTTAAGAAATAGGAAAACATAAAGCACTAATAATCATGGATGAAAGCGAATATACTTACAAATTATAT